CACATATGCTATTTAGCTGAGGTCTCCGACCACCAAGCCATGGCCCGGTACCGGTCAACGGGCAATTTGGCATCAGGCTGCACAGAAAATATACAATTTTCTTTTTAAAATCACATATAATATATATTTGTCAGCAGCAAAATCTACTTAACTTTGGAAAATTAGAAATGTTACACAACAATGTGACAATAATTCATTTTTATGTTATGCACTTCATTGTGTTGTATGCACGTGGCGATGCCCATCCCTTATGGTTTCAAGGCAAACTTGTCACGCTCCTTCATGCTCTACCATGAAGAATAACCATGGAAACCCTCTTTTCTCCTCATAAGAGCAAAGAGTTCCTCGCGTCAGACGGCGTTGCTGCAGGGCATACATACAGTAACGGCAGCCCCAGCGGGACCCGACACGACGCTATAGTGTCTATCAGCTTTAGATGACACGTTTCGATAGCAGACTGATTTAGGCTCGAGCTGCCGCAAGATGACTTGAGTCTCCATCCAATCAAGACGGTGGGAGGAACACCTGCGGACAGCGGAATAAAGTCCACGAGAGAATGATGACCAGTCCCCTGCCACAAAAACAGCATTACATTATCCGCCGTACCCCCAATGCGGTTTGTGGCACGGAACACGAAACCACCTCTGATGTCTCTGAAGTGGTTTAGGTAATAAACCGAACATTCACTTCCCCAAACGCTGATATGATATAAAAAAGTAAGGGGGGGCTTTGGATTGTTTATTCCGATTCATTTCCCGCTGCAGGTAATGGAAAGTGAAAACACATGTTGCAACTGATGGATTCATTAAAAAAACAATACAATACGGCTCCATCAGTGTTACCCTCTCCTCCTGATTTGGACAGAAAATCTCAGAGCCGTCCAGCCCGGTCACCATAGCAACATGATGTTTGACCCTGTCTGGTGAATCCTTAACCTGGAAGAAGGTCTAAGCACAAAGGGGGGCCTCTGCTGGTGATGGAGCGACTGGGGAGGTGATGGAGTCCAGAAATGGGTGAGAAAATGATCCTTCGTCTTTAGGTTGGTGAAACGTTCAGCCAAAAAGGGCCACATGTTTGAGAGCAAGAAAATAAGGTCTCATTTTACAGTAATTAAAGGGATACTAGGAACAGTGGCGTGTCCAGATCTTTTAAAATGGGGTGGCCCAGATGAGGCACAACTTTGTGCATGGGTGACACCAGTGGTTATGCTTTTTTGTTTTACCCCAAGCCTTTTGTGGACAATGAAAAACCAATTTAAAGGTAAATTAGTGTGTTAGCACCTGGGGTGACCGATCCGATTCAAAGGGTGGCATGTGCTACCCCAGGCCACTCCCTGGACACGCCCCTGACTAGGAAGTTTTGGTGTAATTTTAAGACCCACTGGTGTTCTACCATCTCCTCGCTGTGCGTTTGTCTTTTTAACACCTTCATCTAGCAGCTGGAGCATCTTCTCAGCCTTCATTCACTTCTACAGCAGCAGTTCATCATCAACTCAAACCAATCAGCTGTTTTCATGATCCAAGACATGAAGAAAACATGCTGGAAGCAGACTCCAATGCCAGGCATATCAGCTCCACCAGGACTGGACTGGCACTCTGAAGTTGCAAGTGTGATATTCGGACCACAGGGT